ACACATAAAATCATACATACTTAAATCAGTCAATGAAGATGGATGGATATATAATGTGTAGTGTGCGTATCTACACACAGTTGTTTGCAGAAGTCAACACTACCTTTGCAGTGGAAAAACAGATACATATTGTTCTGCAAATTGTATCGCACAGTCTTCTATGTGCTAAATTTAACTGATAGAAAAAACAATACATGAGAGGGGATGGGGAAGGGAAGAAAGAGACAAAAAAGAGGATCAGGAGAAAAAGAGACATACAGAGAGGCTGGGGAAAAGGAGAAAGACACATCAATTGATCTGAAGTCACAATAATTAATTGATGTGTCATTAAATTCATACGGGAGGTATACATATATGAATGTGTAACCTAGCACGTGATGCTATCAAATGATCAAATGTTGGCAACAATTAGAGGGGAAGTAGAGATAAGGAATGTCCACAGTCTTTTAACAACCTCTGATATACAAATGAAATGAGTACTATCCTCTGGGATTTACTGCTGGGTGGACATCCTATTCATGGTTATTCATCTACAGCTTCATATTCCGACACAGACGGTGCAATGTTTGAGATTTGTGTTATGCTGACACACAGCACCAGTAAAAACATTCACTTACCCTACAGTGGCAAAGTTTATAAAAGTCAACATAAGATTATATTTTCCACTGCATGTGATAGGTAGCCTGTAGTTAATGTTCTTTGCAAGCTGATCACCAATTACCTTCACAGAGTTTGATAGGAATTAAGCATATCACTGAATCTGGTCAAGGGGCCATAGTCCAGCAATTACTCTGCAGGGAAGCCTTTTGGAGGCATACACTTGAAGCACTTAGAACTCGTAGATGAATAAAAAGAGTGCTTTGCTTTGTTTCCTGCCAATACCTTAAGCACTTTGCTCTCCAGAGTTCATTAAGTTAATCATTTTCTTAATTTTGCTTTTTTGGCCTCAAAGAAAACAATTTTCCTTGTTTGGATTTGTACCCGTTTTGGTAACAGATTAAGTACAAAAAGTAAGCAAAGAGGGAAAAATGTATAGATTTATTTACAGCTCATCCTTTTTTTTTCTCTACTGTCCACTTGATCAGTGAATAAAATAAACATTAAGTGGCCGTTCCCTAACCATCAATCATTTTTTTTTTCTTTTATTCATCTCATACATTCATGTATTACATTCATGTATCACATTCATGTATCACAAAACAAACATTGCTTGTTTCATTTGTTTTGTGATTTGGAGTTACGGAATTTGGACAATTTGACAATTATCCAAAGTTCAGCTGAATCATGATTGGTTTGGAACTGAATGCAAATGTCCAATGGTCATAGACTGGTCAGAAAAGCAAAACAAAACCCTGTATCCTTGCAAAGGATCTGCAGAATGACTAAGTTGGCACTGAAATAGTTGTGCATGGATGCTTGCACATATATAATTTTAAAGAAAAAGTCAGCTGATGGAAACCTTAATTGTATGCCATATGGGAAGGGTTATTTACTAAAGTGAGAATTCAAAATTAATTTCACATTTAAGGTTAAAATAGCGGAATTGGAAATATTCTCTAAGTCAGCTATGCTTTGCTTTCAGGTCAGCTACAGTGCCCTTAAATTTAAAATTCACTTTGAGTTTACTTTAAATTCTCAATTTTGTAAATAACCCTGATAGATAATACAGAAACATTTGGGAACCAAGTACTGTTGTCTGATAAAATAATTATTATTTGGATGCAAACACCAAAGTTATATTGGGAGAAAAAAAGAGGGAAGCATTTGTAAAACACATTGCTAACTGTTGAGAATTGGATGGATCAATTATAATTTGTGGTCAAGTGACTGAATGCTAGAAACACAGTAACTATTGTAAAACAAGAGGAAATGATGGATTCTACTAAATATTAACATATTATGGAAGGTAATATTCTGTAGTCAGTTTAAAAAAAAAAAAGAAAAAGCAGTAAGACAGTGATCTAAAACCCACACATAACTCATCCATTAACTACTTCAAGAAACAAAAGATTATTGTTTTGGAATGATCCTTTTAGTCCGTAGCCTTAATTATTGTGGTAATTCATACAGTGCAAGATACAGGGCCTACAAATGTATCTGAACTACATATCTTATAAGAGAGAATGGGGAACCTACCCAGAGCAAGAATACAGGTAGCAACAGGAACTGTTATTTCTTCCAAACTCAGTGTTACTAAGTACTGACTGAAAGAGCACCCAAACATCTGTACATGTCATATTTACTGGTTTATGTTTTCAATCAGTTTTATTTAGTTAATTCATTTATTTAATTAAAGTATATAGAAAAGTTCAGACTTTACATTTTTTGCAGTGAAGAGCAAGTGTCAACTTGTTTCAACTTAGAAAATCACAAAACATGTTATTTAGTTACATGGTTACATAGTTACATAGCTGAAAAGAGACTTGCGTCCATCAAGTTCAGCCTACCTCACATTTGTTTTTTGCTGTTGATCCAAAAGAAGGCAAAAAAACCCAGTTTGAAGCACAATTTTGCAACAAGCTAGGAAAAAAATTCCTTCTTGACCCCAGAATGGCAGTCAGATTTATCCTTGGATCAAGCAGTTATTACCCTACATTGAAAGATTATATCCTTGAATATTCTGTTCTTGCAAGTATGCATCTAGTAGCCGTTTGAACATCTGTATGGACTCTGATAAAACCACTTCTTCAGGCAGAGAATTCCACATCCTGATTGTTCTTACAGTAAAAAAACCTTTCCTTTGCCTTAGACGAAATCTTCTTTCTTCCAGTCTAAACGCATGGCCTCGTGTCCTATGTAAAGTCCGGTTTGTGAATAGATTTCCACACAATGGTTTGTATTGGCCCCGAATATATTTGTATAAAGTTATCATATCCCCTCTCAGGCGACGTTTTTCTAAACTAAATAGGTTTACATTTGTTAACCTTTCTTCATAGCCGATATGTTCCATTCCTAGTTAGTAATGTCCAAACTTTTGCCTTTTTCCTTAAAATCGTACATTTCTATGCTTATATATGAATCATTAAAAAGGAAAAATCCACAAAATCACATCAATAACCCAGGACATAAACAGAAACCAGCAAAAACAGAATGCAACTTTCTGGGTTAAATAATTGGATTTATTCGATTATTTTTTCAAAGAATTTACCATTGAAATATTTATCTCTTATACTGGTTCTGCTAATATGTATTCACTATCCAAACCATGCAAGACGTGAACAATATTGTTTACCAAAAATTGATTTCAACTTTTTGTGTTTCTATTTAATTTTGTTTGTTCGTGCTCTCTAAAAATCAATTTCCACTGTATGCATATTGGGTTTTAAATATGCACTTTCCATTGTCACTTTCCAAATTTTTCATGAAGAACAGGATTCAAGGGCATTTGCTTTTTAAAAAATAAAGTAATAAATTAAGTTCTTTCACTTTACTGTTCCAAAGAATAATTCATATGAACAATTAAACTCCAGCACCCTAATATGCTAGTTCTTTAAAACCACATATTAATGTGTACTCCTGCTGGACTCACGCTGTCTTTTGAGTTTTCATTGTATTATAATTTTTAAATAAACAATGCCAAAAGGAACAATCCCAATGAAAAAAAAAATACTAGCATACTATTAGATATTTTAGTAAATGTGGCTTAACAAAAAGGCTTTTCATTTTGTATCATTGAAGTTGTTGTTTAGCTCTTACAGGTATATTTTTAAAAATCTAAGTGCAAATACTATTTTATTGCTGTGTATTCAAATATAAATAACTGGGTTCTCTTTCTCTTTCAGATGTCTACGTCTAACTGATGTTGACCATATTTTGTAGCCACGGAAAATGATGCTGTGGATATGTTCCGGAGCATCCTTTATTACTTCCTTTGGATAAATGAGAAGTCGTCATGTTATTATGCTGACAACTAAGCATGAATTTGGTAGACCTGTGGATAACACGCTCCCTCTCCATGTGTCTGCTCTTACAAAGCTTTGTTCTAATGATACTGTGCTTTCATTCTGCCAGTATGTGTCCCAAAGGCTGCCTTTGCTCTCATTCAGGAGGCTTAAATGTCAGCTGTAGTAATGCAAACCTCAAGGAGATACCTAGAGACATTCCCCCGGAAACTGTTTTACTCTACCTAGATTCCAATCAAATAACATCCATCCCTAACGATATTTTTAAAGACCTCCATCAGCTGAAAGTTCTCAACTTATCCAAAAACAGCATTGCATTTATAGATGAAAACTCATTTAAAGGTGTGGCAGAAACATTGCAGATTTTAGACTTGTCAGACAACCAGATTACAAGTGTCCACAAGAATGCTTTTAGTAATTTAAAGGGAAGGGCCAGAATTGCTAATAACCCATGGCACTGCGACTGTACTCTACAGCAGGCTCTGAGGAGCATGGCATCAATTCACGAGACTACCAGCAATGTCATTTGCAAAACATCTGACCTGGATGAACATACCGGGAGGGCTTTGCTGACTAATGCAAATGATGCAGACCTTTGTAATATTGCAAAAAAGACTACGGATTATGCCATGTTGGTTACTATGTTTGGCTGGTTCACCATGGTGATATCTTATGTGGTATACTATGTACGGCAAAACCAGGAGGATGCGAGGAGGCATCTTGAATACTTGAAATCCCTGCCAAGCAGGCAAAAAAAACCTGAAGAAGCTGACGACATTAGCACTGTGGTATAGTATTGGAGACAAGAGACTAAAATCGGAAATGGATAATACCTTGGAATGTCATTAGAACAAACTAAGTTTAGTTCTAATGCTTGTTGTAAACCTTTTTGCCTTTTAAAAAAAACAAAAAACATTATGGTGGCAAAATTGTGCCACTGTTGACAAACAATACAAGATAAATTTTGTTTGACGGTACTCTGTTGTCTCTTTGATGGTATTCCAATCGAGTTAACTAGTATGTAATCATAACTTAGAATGCATTTCACTATTTAATAATGAAATATTTATTTTTTTAATTTATAACAATAAATAATGGCTTACCTTTAAGCCATGTAAAACTAGTAGTAATCTATTATTCTTTGAAACATGGTAAGCAAGTTGGGTTAATTGATTTATTTTTATAGGTTAGAAACCATTATGCAAAATTGGTATTGTTTTAACACAAACATAAGCTGAAAGAGTATAGATGGAGAAAAATGAAATGTGATGTTCTGTGAAAACTGTTAATTTTGTTATCTTCTCTGATCTACAAAGCTACATTGTACTGTCACTGTGCCAGCATAGAATTTCCATTTGTATATTTTAAAAAAATATATCTTTTGATGGAATCATCAATAGTAGGAGCAGGTCATTGTTAATAAAAAGAGGCATACGTTTGAGCAGCAGTTAATTTAATACGAATGTGCATTCATGGTTAAATTGGACAATGTGGTAAATCTATGATTACTCTGTGTAAGAAAAAAGAAACAAATCTGTGATGTCTCCCGATAACAATAAATGATTAACTATGGCCTTAATTTCAAATACTTTCCAAACGATTCAATACTGTTAGAAACATTTCCAAATGATTAATTTATAAAAACTCCTATAGACGTTAACAGTGACATCTGTGGATATATCTCTTGGAAAGTTTTTCTAACAGTACTGAAATAATTTGAAAAGCTTAATAAATTGAGGCCTATGTATACCCAGGTTGAGCTACTGTGTGAAACCTTGGTTCACAGGTACAAGTATGATATCCCCTTCTCTGCTTGTGTCCTTACAAGACCACCGCCCTTTATTTTTAATTTTTTTCTAGTTTCCATTATTACATTCAGCATGTTTCCTATTAAATTCAGTACAGTTCATCTGCTATTGGTTCTCTTATCAACTCTTACAAGCTCTTTCTATTGCTCTGTTCCATTCTCATATGGTCTGTCTGCTTTTGTATTTATTTAGAGTTGTTAGATTGTTTAACTTCTTAAGGACACATGATTAACATTTTCTATCATGCTGGCCTTTTACTTCTGAAGCTGTGTCCTTAAGGGGTTAAGTACTAGCTGAAAAGTAACGTTGACACTCTTAAAGAACCACTAAAGTCATCCAGACCACTTTATCTCAATGAAGTGGTCAGGGTTCAGTGTCCCTCTCCTTTTAACCCTGCAATGTAAAACAAATGCAGTTTTGTAGAAACTGTAATGTGTACATTGTACAGTTAAACACTCCTCTACCTATTAGAAGCATTTAATTCTACACCTATGAGGAGCATTGGGTTGGCTAACTGTTTGAGAACCAAATTATGTTGTTGAGGGCAAAGTGGCTGGCAGTGCTGAAGGAGTCTCGGAGAAATGGTAAGTAAAAGTCTTTAGGGGAGACTTTAAATGAATCTGCCGCTAGGGACCTATAGTGTTAGGAATATAGATTTGAATTCCTAATGCAACAGTGTTCCTTTAACTCTAAACTGAAAATCTGTTGTGTTTACACTTTGTACAAAGGGGTATTGCCTAATGTCAGATTCAATATCAAGGTGTTAAGGCCAGGCTCTATCAAAACCGAAGAACTCTGTGCCTTGGTATGCTGTTGGTTTAATGAGCATGACCTTTATTCGGCAGCTTATTATGTTAATGTTGTCTTTATCCTGCCTCCTAGACTGTCACACATGCTAAATTTAAATTGCATCTACCAGGCTACTGAATTATTAAGGTTTAACATATGAAAACTTACTGATTTTTCATGGTAGCCATTGTTTCAGGGCCCTGGCCTGCCTGCTGATTATGTTTCCTAGTGTCCTTCATCGGGGCACCAGGACACTATATTGAATCAGCACAGATGCTTGTACTGTTCTACAGGTGCTAGAGACATGCATAGAGCACTTTAGAGGCACTCTTTGCATGACCTTTTCTGTTGAGGGATGGCTTCCGGCTGCCTGTCATCTTAACGTGCTTGAAGCCAGATTGACACATTTCTTCAGTGGGTGAAACAGCCCATTGGGGCATCATCAGTGAGGCAAGTTTAAGGCCCATTGGATTGGTCTACATTCCTACATGCTGATACCTTATGAGTGATCCACATGAAACCTTAGGAACCTCAATGCCTTTTGATATTCAATAAATGGAGTCTCCATTTTAAAAAAGCCAATTTTCTGGGGTAAATGCTACGCTTAGTGAGATCAGGTGTCAAGGTGTCAAATTAACCCTGTGGTACTGAAGTGAGAGCAAAATAAGCTCACTGAGAGCAGATCAGCTTTCTAGAGGCATGTTAAATACATGCTAAAAATAGTAAGGGACCTCCGGACCCCAATAATACTGTTTAGCCACACGATGAGTGGCCCATAATCAATTGGGGCCTGTGCATTCATGGATATATCTGAGATGTACAAATTTGTAGCATCTGCTATAAGTTAAGATTTGACATATTTTGATTTCCATATATTAAATTCTTTAGGTGGAATTTATTAAAACAAAAGTACATTTTAAAAAAGTTACCTTGATAGAATGTGAAATATTTGAATATGCGTGTGAAGTTTTCCAACAAACTTTTTATTTCCGTTAATTTGGCTTATGCCAAAAGCATCTCATTGGTTTTTCTGTTTATACATCATGTATTGATTGTTGTCTTGATGAACAGCCTCAACCTGTCCAGCAAAATGGTGTGAAAAAGCCTCACTGGTAGAGATCTTTCTCTCAAGCTTTTTTGTAGAGAATGAGGACATTGAAATAAGACACAACATAGCATTGTAATAGCATGCATCAAAGAGGAAGGAAAAAAACCACAGTACACATTTCTTCTTCTTCCCAAAAGATTACAAGGTAAAGAAACATTGCAGGTTTTTACGTCTTCCCTGGGGCATGGTCAACACATCCACCCTGTTCTCCATAGGTTTGTTGCACTGAAAAGAGATAAACAGAAATGTATACACACACAGAGAACACTGAGACACCTTCATTGACTCACATGGCGACTAAAAGGATATTGTGTAAGGTGGGAACAAATCCACAATGCATCCAAAGTAATTCAATAGAGTTACAAAATACAAAAATGCACAGACTGTTTTTTTAAGGTTTTTCATTTGTTAATTTTTGTAACTACAATGTTCAGTATTTTAATAACTATAAATATTAGACGTGTGCATTTAGTTTTGGCCGAATTGCAATTCAAGCAGCTAGTAGCTACTAGCTGTTTGGCCGAATTCCGCATTTATGAAGCACCAGGCAGATGCATGAACACACAACTAGTGCAATAGACCAGCATGTTCGTTTAATTTAGAAATCAGAGGTCTACCTGTGTCACCCAAAAAAAAAGAGATGATTGATGAAAAAAAAAAAAATTGATGGCTAGGAGACAGACTTTAAATGTAGATTATATTCACAGATCAAGTAAGAATTGACTAATAGAGGGGAAAAAAGAAGGAGCAGAAAAAAATATATATAGTATACAGATATTGATATTTTTTTTTTCTCTTTCTTGGTTACATTTTTCTCACTTGATCTGTGAACCAAAGAGCAGATTGTGCGACTATCAGTACATTGAGAACTATATACATAATAATTATATTATATACAAAGATTTGCTACAGTGTTGATGTTCCAGGAGGGATAAGCCAAATGGCAAATAATTTAGGTAAACTAGAAAAATGGTCAGAGTTGTGGCAGGTGACATTTGATGTGGATAAGTGCAAGATAATGCATCTTGGACGTAAAAACCCAAGGGCAGAGTACAGAATATTTGATAGAGTCCTAACCTCAACAAATGAGGAAAGGGATTTAGGGGTGATTATTTCTGAGGACTTAAAGATAGGCAGACAATGTAACAGAGCAGCAGGAAATGCTAGCAGAATGCTTGGTTATATAGGGAGAGGTATTAGCAGTAGAAAGAGGGAAGTGCTCATCCTATTGTACAGAGCACTGGTAAGACCTCACTTGGAGTGTTGTACGCAGTACTGGAGACCGTATTTCCAGAAGATTTCAGAGAAGGACTACAAAACAAGTTTATGAATTGCGGGGTAAAACTTACTAGAAAAGGTTAAAGGTTTTTTCAAATGTATAACTTGGAGTAAAGACGAGACAGGGGGCATATGATAGAAGAATTTAAACACATAAAGGGAATCAACATAGTAAAGGAGACTATATTTAAAAAGAAAAAGAAAAACTACAACAACAAGAGGACATAGTCTTAATTTAGAGGAGAAAGGGTTTAAAAATAATAGCAGGAAGTATTACTTCACTGAGAGGGTAGTGGATGCATGGAATAGCCTTCCAGATGAAATGGGAATTTTTAAACATGGACTAATGAAAGTATTTAGAAAATTGGGCAGGCTAGATGAGCCGAATGGTTTTTACCTGCCGTCACATTCTATGTTTCTATGTATATATTTTACAGTACAATGATTGGCTAATTTTTGCTCCATTTTTTTGTTTGTCTGAATCGTTCTCTTGATTATTTTTCATGGATGATATTTGAACCAGCTAGACCATCAAATGAATGAGCGTCCAAAACGAAATTTCATTTACAGAATGAACCAAATTTTTCTGCTATACACAAGTCTAATCATTATGTCAATTAAATCATTCATGACAACGGTTAGGTAAAGCCTGTCTTAATATGTCACTTGTCGTGACATGGTTACAATGAATGTATTTCATATTTTTGTCACTGTTTTTCTGCATGAGGTCACATAAAATGGTTGCTGAGGCATGTTTCTAAATATGACTTAAAAGGAAAAAGCATTGATCATCATTGCAAGCTATGTATAAATATAAATCCAGCTGAGCAAAAACACACTTCAGTAAAAATGCCAAGGGACAAAATACTTAAGTGTCATCATTTATAACCAAATTGGCACAAGTCGTATGTGTTCACTGTTCCTACATATTAAATTATTCAGCAACATACCTGGGAACCATGATGGCTGAGTGAGCTGGAAATTTCAATCTTTCTGCAGCTGCAAGAAAAGGGTTGGGTTTAACCAAGGGAGGTCTTCATTTATATATTTGTTAATTAATACAATAGTTTTGACCAAGAGGCCTGGGTGAGTGGCTTCCTTTACATAGCAAATTTCCAACGTATGAGGCTAAGTATGTGGCTAGAACCTTTATAGTGTATCTCTTTATTCTCCTGTATTATGAAATTTGCCATAAAAAATTCTGACTTTGGCACAGTGTCAGTACATTGTCCTTAAAGTGCTTCTAGAGAAAGTCACTAGTGTCTTATGTCACAGAACACACAACTAAAGTTACAGAAGTGAGTCCCTAGTTCTGTTGTCTGCATCCCTCAGAAAGATTCCATGCCTTTAAGGGGAGCAAATTCCAATGAGCCCTTCACATGCTCTATGTAATAACAATAGTAATGTGAGTTCCATGCCTTTTTATTAATAAACATCTGAACAAAGATACATGCTGCTCCTGCCTTTTTTGTTCTCCATTTCTCCGATTTTTTTATTTCCTGAGCATTTCTTGTTAAACCATTGTACGGCTAGTGTTATGAAACCATACCAGCCATTATATATATATATAGTTACTTGGGCTCGGCATGCAAGGTCTCCTGGTCTTTACTTACCTCGGTGCTATGTACAGTATACATATATATATATATATATATATATATATACTGTATATATGATGATACAGTACACTCAGATGACTCAGTAAATGTATTAGTAATTCTGCTTTATTGTGCAATTAAAGACAAATACAGGTTATTGTTTCAGTCCATTACCAAACATTTTTAAAGACAAATCAACAAATTTAAATGGGGATCGTAAGATGAAGGACTGGGTGACCATGATGAGAAAGAGGCTCATGACATAGTAAGTGACATCTATAAGTTTCTTAAAGTACTGTATTTGCTAAATCGTGCTTGTCATCAGAAGAACAAACACAGGTGCAGTCGGTGCGACTGCACTTGGCCCTTGCACTGAGGGGGGGCCCACCGGGGGGGTTAATGCACTTAGGGCCACACAATGAAAATTTATCCTCATGGGCACAGTCCTGAGCTGCAGCCCTTTAACAACAAGACAGGTCCCGTTTAATAATGGCAGCATGAAAGGAAGTGAAAGCTGGTCATTTCCTCCCAGATGACACCGAGCCACGTGGGAGGGAGAAGATAAAGAGGGTGCACAGACTGTTGGGAGAGCCTCTGACTCCCAACAGTCTCAACTAGCAGACTGTATCTACCCTTCTGCACCCAAAATGTGGGAAACCGGAGGGTGGTTACATTTTGAATGTGTGTCTGTGTATTAGTATGTAAGTCTATGTGTCTGTATGTGTATCTGTGTGTTTTTGTATCTATTCTGGTGTCTGTATGTGTATCTGTATGTCTGCATGTGAGTGTGTTTTTGTATCTGTGTGTTTGTGTATCTACATGCATGGATGTATGTGTATCTGTGTGTTTTTTGTACCTGTGTATTTGCACGTGTGTCTATATGTATAGATGTGTGTCTGTCTATGTGTATCTGTGTGTCTTTGTATCTATCTGTTTGTCTGTATGTGTATCTGTGTGACTGTATATCTATCAGTGTGTCTGTATGTGTATCTATATGTGTGTCAGTGTTTGTATCTGTATGGGTGTCACTGTGTGTATCTGTGTGCTTGTGTATCTGCATGTATGTCAATGTGTGTGTCTGCGTATTTGTATGTGTGTCAGTGTGTGTGTCTTTGTATCTGCATTGTATCACTGTGTGTATCTGCATGTATGTCAGTGTGTATCTGCATGTGTGACAGTGTCTGCACCTGTGTGTATGTGTATCTGATGTACCTGTATATGTGTGTATTGGTATGTGTGTGTCACGGAAGGCAGTCCGTAGTGCCTCATGTAGTTGATTAGGAGTCTTCAGCGTGGTAGTGAATACGTGGGGCCTGGTGCAGGGTAACCGCACGCCCTCTGGTGTTGAGCACCAGCATTTACCAAGACCCTGTTGCATCTAAGCGGTTGTCAGAGCAGAAGTATACTGAGATGTATCCAGTACTAGAAACAAGGCAAGGCTAGGATAGACACCAAACAAGAAAACAAGACAAAACTAATAGAACCCAGAACCAGAGAAGGATAGAAAGCTAAACCCAGAACATGTACACAATACATAAGGGAAACATTAACAGAACAAGGGCAGGACAGGACTTTACATGTACTGGGAACATGAAATAAAACAAGACAAGATATAATAGGCAAAACAAGAGGAGACAAAACTAAGTACTATATATGTAATAAACATTGGAGATTTAGACATACATAAATGGCCAAGATGTATGCAGCCCACCAACTGCGTCAAATTCCTCCAATTACGGTGGGTCCTATCTACCTAGATATGCATGACTAAATAAACAATAATAAAACATACACAGCACTTACCTGCAAGAAAAGGGCAGAGAACTTGTAGCAACTGCCTGCAGGAACCAACTGAAACAAAAGGATTCATGGAAAAGGAACGGGTGTGGCAACATAAAACAAACATTTAAAGGAATCCAAGAGACTGAGAATTCCAGGAACGAAATACAGGAATAAAACCAGAAAACCCTGCAAAAAGAAAACCATAAACAGAATAGAAAACCAGAAAAACCAAGGAAAACAAAACAAGAATTGTAAAAAGAGTACTAGATACCAGAAGCCAAGGCCAGACCTCTGAACAGGACAGCGTAGGTCCTGACAGTGTGTCAGTGTCTGTATCTGTATGTTTGTCTGCACGTATATCTGTGTGTATGTATATGAATGTGTGTCAATGTGTGTGTGTATCTGCATGTGTGTCTGTGTTTATATGTAAATCTGTATGTGACAGTGTATACATATATGTGCATACATCTCAGCATTCAAACACCCACACTACACACAAATGCACCACTGCATTCAAACGTCAACACTACGTACATTTAATTGTAATTGGTTAACTCAAGACAAGGTGCCACAGCAACTAAAGAAAGTTAATATAAACAAAGCTCCAGGGCCTGATGGTATCCATCCACGAGTACTTAAGGAACTAAGTGTAGAAATAAGTGAACCACTGTTTTTAATCTTTCAAGATTCTTTTCTTTCAGGAAGTGTTCCGGAGGATTGGAGGAAGGCAGATGTAGTTCCTATATTCAAAAAAGGTTCAAAAACCTTGCCTGGAAATTATAGACGTGTGAGCTTAACTTCTGTGGCTGGGAAAATATTTGAAAGGTTATTAAGGGATAATATTCAAGAATTCCTTGAGAAGAACATGGTTATCAGCAAAAATCAGCATGGTTTTAAGAAGCACAGGTCATGTCAAACTAACTTGATTGTATTCTATGAAGAAGTAAGTAGAAGTATAGATCAGGGTGTTGCAGTGGATGTGATCTATTTGGATTTTTCCAAGGCATTTGATACAGTTCCACACAATCGATTAGTGTTCAAATTTAAGGAAATCGATTTAGATGAAAATGCTTGTTCTTGGGTAGAACATTGGCTTAAAAATAGAGCACAAAGAGTTGTCATAAATGGTAAATTTTCAATCTACACAGAGGTGGCAAGTGGTGTCCCTCAGGGTTCTGTTCTGGGACCCCTTCTATTTAACATTTTTATAAATGATCTTGAAAAAAACATTGAAAGTCATGTTTCAGTGTTTGCAGATGACACAAAACTCTGTAAAGTAATACAATGTGAGCAAGATATTACTTTGCTGCATAGGGATTTAGATAGACTGGGGGACTGGGCACTCAAATGGCAGATGAAATTTAATGTTGAAAAATGCAAAGTTATGCACTTTGGCATAAAGCATGCACAAGCAACGTATACCCTTAATGGAAGCGAATTAGGGATAACAACACATGAAAAGGACTTGGGAATTGTTATAGACAACAAACTATGCAACAATGTGCAATATCAATCAGCAGTGGGTAAGGCCAGTAACTGTAATGCATGAAAAGGGCATTCATTCTTGGGATGAGAATATCAATTTGCCTCTTTATAAATCACTGGTAAGACCACATATTGAATATGCTGTGCAATTTTGGGCACCTGTTCTAAAGAAGGATATTATGGCACTAGAAAAAGTGCAGAGGAGGACTACAAAATTAATAAAAGGAATGGAACATATCAGCTATGAAGAAAGGTTAACAGATTTAAACCTATTTAGTTAGAACCTCAGAATTAAAGGTGCTAAGATATACTTAATGATCAGCAAATGCAATCACAATGATCGTTTCTTTGCATATATAGTATGAAACACATACAGATAATAGTGCAGATAGTTTGGACATGTATCTTATATACTGTATTTGCCACAACTTGATATTGTCTTTATGTAGGCAGACTTAATAAAGTGCCAGTATGATGAATAGGTAATAGATTTCCACGGTTGCTTCCGGTTTCGTCATGACATAATGTTTCTTTGTCCATCTTGGAGAAGCATGCTTAAGGAAGCATTCGAACGTAATGTAATTGCCTTGATTGGTGTATCTTTGATTCCCTTTAGTCCGCAATCACAAATGGCTATAAATCATATAAATTAGTCCCTGTGCTTAAAATTTGTACAGAATAATCCATAATTTTACAGAAAACAGCCTGAAAATGTGCACTTTTATTGGACCTAATGAAATAAGTTAACTGAGAAAAACGTTAAACTAAGAAGAACCTAGCCTATGTTCTTGTAGTTTTACATCTTACAATTCATACCTTATGAATGAAACCCAGTTACTCTTGTTAAAATGTTGGAACCACCTAGCTTGAAAGAAGAATATTGATCAATTGTACATAATCAGAATAACCACATTTTAAAAGTATATTTTCAAAGTTGTATTAAACTTAACAGACATATCTATCAAAAAACATATAAGTGCCAGGGCAGACAGAGTAGATGTATCGATATTTGTCACCACTTGTTGGATAAAAATATCTAATACAAATTTCTAATAAAAATTAAAAAAATATTAAAAAATATCAATGTAATAAAATCTAAATCATAATCTACATGTATCATTTTAAAAAATGGTAAATCTCGAAATCGTTGTTTAGTCCACTTGGTACTAGAATGTGCAGTTCAAATATCTATCTCATCTCATGACTTTTCTGCTCTATTGTATAAAAACACTGTCATCCATGCTATTTCTTTTGATTCTTAACAACTGGCTTTTAAGCACATTACTCAGCCATGGGTTATAGTGGCAATTTATATTCTGTATGTAACTGTTGACGTCTACGGTTTTAAAAAAGGTTTTTGTTTCTATATAGATGTAAGGTCAGAAAAGTTAATTTATTTTCTACTGTATGAAAATTTTAATTTTATGCCCCAATTATTGGAGTTGTTGGAGTTAATGTATAGTGTTCCTCAAATAGAATGGACTCTGCTGGACCACTGGCTGTAATATATGATCCACATACTCCGACAGCCTGCATGAGACAGAATTGATGGTCAAAAAGATAGGTATCCCTGGAGGTTTTGGCATGTTACATAGACACATAGAAACATAGAATGTGACGGCAGATAAGAACCATTCGGCCCATCTAGTCTGCCCAATTTTCTAAATACTTTCATTAGTCCCTGGCCTTATCTTATAGTTAGGATAGCCTTATGCCTATCCCACGCATGCTTAAACTCCTTTACTGTGTTAACCTCTACCACTTCAGCTGGAAGGCTATTCCATGCATCCACTACCTCTCAGTAAAGTAATACTTCCTGATATTATTTTTAAACCTTTGTCCCTCTAATTTAAGACTATGTCCTCTTGTTGTGGTAGTTTTTCTTCTTTTAAATATAGTCTCCTCCTTTACTGTGTTGATTCCCTTTATGTATTTAAATGTTTCTATCATATCCCCCCTGTCTCGTCTTTCGTCCAAGCTATGCATGTTAAGATCCTTTAACCTTTCCTGGTAAGTTTTATCCCGCAATCCATGAACTAGTTTAGTAGCCCTTCTCTGAACCCTCTCTAAGGTATCAATACCCTTCTGAAGATACGGTCTCCAGTACTGTGAACAATACTACAAGCGAGGTCTCACCAGTGTTCTGTACAATGGCATGAGTACTTCCCTCTTTCTACTGCTAATACCTCTCCCTATACAACCAAGCATTCTGCTAGCATTTCCTGCTGCTCTATTACATTGTCTGCCTACCTTTAAGCAAAACATAAAAAGCTGGTATCTTTCCATGTTTTAATTCGATATGCTCCTTTTCCATTTCATTAATAATGCCCCCCTGAAATCCCCTAAAAATATGAATATTTTAAAAAATCTGTTAAATTGTGGCTGACTCATCACACTATGGACTGCACAAAGACTTTGAGCTATTGGTAACAGCCCCATTGCATGTAGTTTTAAAGTTACAAAGCCTTGAAGTGATCAGCCGTATATACCGTATTTACTTACAGTACTCTCTTGTGAGAGGCAGTGTGTTTATTTTTCCCCCTGATTTTATGTATAATAAAATGGATCTGCACTTTAAAGTATAATAGTACTTTCTAGAAAATATGAATCTATACTAATCTACTACCTATGCACAATACTGGCACTTAATTAAGTCTGTCTACATAAAGACAATATCAAGTTGTAGCATAAACAGTTTATAAGATGTCTGAACTATCTGCACTATTATCTGTATTTGTTTCTTTTTATACATGCAATGACATGATCATTGTGATGGCATTTGCTGGTCAATAAGTATATCTCAGCACTTTTATTTCTGAGGTTCTGGTCTTGACTCCTCTGGATTTATCAGCCAAAACACTGTTTTCACTGCTTTTTGTATTAACTTTAACACTGCTCACTTGTATTTATAATTTTTTCATGCTCCCTGAATATTTTGACACATACAAAGCAAGTAACAAACAGGGACATACAGCTAGACACACATACAAAAAAAAGAGTCACACATGAAGAGCAATAGATACACATAGAGGTAACTGCAGCATCAAAAACAGGATTTCCAGCAACTCCTTAAAAAATATGGACTCAATAATACAACTACATTCCAACATTTGTTTCAGTATTAGATGGAAATTCAAATCCTCATTCTCCTGGTTGGACTTGCTTCTAGTCATTGTAAGTCCTCTATGCTAGTTTTATGCTCATATATAGACATTTTATTTACATTGTCAAGGTATTATTAGGAAGTTGCATCAGAATCCATAAAAAAATCCCCCCAAAATCTTATTTTTTGTAATTTTTTTAAATCTATTTTTTGTTTTTCACTGTACGTGGTAGTTAAGTTTGTATACATTTTGGATGAAGTCTGTCTAAAATATTGCAAGATAATGAATATAGTGTAATCTCTAAAATGCTTCCTCATTATTTATGAAAAGAATGAATAAATAAATAAAACAATAAAGGTGTGCAAAATTACATTGTATTACAATTTTAGTCATTTCTAAGCAGTAATCTATACACATTGTTATTATGTACTAAGGTAAATTTGTTTCCTTGAAGCAAAAAAAGGAGAATCGTAGAAATTTACTGCCAGGATGATGTGAGCATTGTTACTATGGAAGCTGATATCTGATCGCAC